ATTGTTAGATAGTCATAGGTGGATTGTGATGACAACCTAAAAGTGGCTTAAGGCACATGCCGTTTACAAAAAGTCACGGGTTCTGTCCCTCCTAAGGGTCGGAGTTCTGTGGCTCCAGCTGGGTCCCTTGGGTACTGGTCCTAGGAGGGGCCAGGGACTCTTTGAACCCGTACTTTTTTGCCCCAGGATCTTCCCTGTTACTCTGGGAAGGTGGAGGCCTAGGCCCACTTGTACCTCAGGCTCCCTTTTTCTTTTGGAGTAGTCAGAAGACTGGGCTGACTCCCAAGATCTTGTTGTGCCGGTACCAAGCGCCCCCTGGTGGCCAACATGCTGGAAGGGGCCATGTGTGCATGCTGGCATCTAGTCAAGTACATCAGCGCGCCACTAGGGGGCGTCGGCACCAAGGCTGAGCGCTCAGGCCTAGTCTGAGGCCATCACCGAACACCACAAATGCGTGGCCCCCTCTGACTTTGCCCAAAGCCAGGGTCTGGATGAGGCGTCACCTAGGGGAGCTGGGTCTGGGGTCTGTGTGGCCTAGCAGGAGGACGGTGGTGACTGGTGGTAGAGAGCAGCAGCAGTGCCGGGGCCTCCAGCCTGGGGCCATCACAGCCCTGCACTTCCTGGCCCTTGGCTCCCGCAGCAGCAAGCGGCACCTCAGTTTCCCTCTTGCAGATCTGAGAGTGGGACTCTGACCACACACCTCACACTTGGACCCTCTGCCTCTGCAGCCACACGTTTGGGCCCAGGCTGCCCAGAGGTCCAGAACAGGCCTCCGCCCGCCTGGCACTTGGCCTCTTGGCGGGCGAACGCCGCCCCGGGCGGCCCCACCCTGGCACAGGCCGGACAAAGCCTGAGGGTTTGGGGTTGCCTCCATTTGTCTTGGAGGCTGACATGGAGAAAACCCCGAAGGACCAGTCGCCCTCACAGTTTCACCACAAGTATCCTGACCGGGCGTCTGGTGCCGAGCTGATAGTGCAGGCCCCGGCCGCAGCCCTGCCGGAAACCGCGCTGCCAGCGGTTGGGGGCCGCAGGCTGGGACAGGAAGCGCCCGGTGCACCCGGGGCCTCTGCAGACCTGCTGCTGGGACCAGGCTGCCGCCATGTTGAAGCTGGACCCCTGGGGCGGGGCCAGGCAGGGGCTGCTCTGTCATCATGCCTGTCAGCTGTGGAGGTAACAGGGCTGTGATATTAGCCTGCAGGCCCTTGGCCCTGGTCCAAGATTGGGAGCCCCAGTCGTCGCCTGTGGTCAGGCCCCTCCACTGTGTCCTCTAGTCTCAGACTGCATGTGACCTATGACTGGCCTAGACCCAAATAAGGAGGCCAGAAGGGTAGAACTGTGATGGGGAAGGCAGACTGACTGGGGGACAATTTTGAGAGAAATCACAGTGAAGGATTTTCATGTGGGGATGTGGGGTGTGGGGAGCCCAGATTCTAGCCTCTTCTTTTGGCTTGAGGGAGAATCCAGGATTTCTCTTAAGATGGGTGTCTTAGTCTGCTTGGGCAGCCATCACAAAACAGCCTAGGTGCTTATAAACAGGACTTTACCCTTCACAGTTCTGGAGAAGCCCTGGGATGGAGGTGTGGGCATTCAGGTGTGATGAGACTCCATCTCTTGGTTCTTGGATGATCTCATGCTAGAGAAGGCAGGGGGACCTCTAGGTCACTCATCTCATTGATGGGTTGTCCCTGTGTAATACTTCCCAAAGCCTCCCCTGCCCTTTCATTAGGAGTTAGGCCAACATGAACTTGGGGGCAAGGACAGGAACCTATTGAAATACTGGGAGTAGGGAAGGCGGTAATAGGGAGAAAGAGATGTTAGATACAGGAGAGAAGGGGCCAATTCAAGAGAAGAGCAAGGTGGGTGGGATCATGACAGGCCACTGCCCACCAGTACCCAGAAGGAAGCTAGGAAGACCCAGTGGAGGTTTGCCTCCTGTGGAGCGCTGAGCACCTCCCTCTCCAGCTTTGATAGTGCTCTCTGAAATGCACTACTTGCTGCTATCCCCCAACTCCCTGACCCCATGCTTCTCTAGCCTTTGAAACAGTGATGGGATATCAGTTCATTTAAAAAATATCTTCACTTTGTGTCAGGCATGTCTTAGACACCAGGACTGTGATATTAAGTAGGACACAGCCTCATCATGTGACTTGCCAGGGAACGAGATACCACCAAGTGAATCATTGCAGGTGTGGACAAATACTTGAAGGAAACAACAGGGTAATGTGTTGAACGGATCTAGTCTGAAGGTTGAGAGGCATCCCTGGCCTACAGTGTGGCCCTCCCTGTGGGAGGCTGCCTTTCCTCCTGGTCTCTTTCCCACCCATCCATCCAAGCCTCTGATGCTTGTAGAATCTCCTGCCTTTGAGTCTGACTCCTGACACACCTCCCCACACCAGCTTTGTTTTCCAGGGCCTAATTCCTGGAGCCTGCAGGACCAGTACTCAGGGACTTTTCCAGTTAAGCTATAGGGCATGGCCATACCCTGCAGGCCCCATTCACTGCAGACTTGGGCTCATTGTTCTTCTCTGAGCCTTACATTACGGTCAGGAAAACAGGGACCATAATGACAGGAGACCTAGAAGGGCTTCATGACTTAATGTGGCACACAGAGTGCAGGTCTGCCCTCGACAGCAGCAGTGGTGGCAGCACAGCCCAAAAGCTTGAACTGAGTGATGCTGTTTAAGGGCTTTATTAGTTCACATGCAGCTGGTGCAGACAGCAGGTGGAAGTGTCAGTGCACAGGTTACTGCCTCCACTGAGTACCCCAGACCTGGGCTAGGCATTCTGCAGCCAGGATGTGCAAGACATCATGTAGGTTCCTTCTCTTTTGGGCCTAAGGTCTTGCTACACGACCAACAGATATTGAGGTGAGGGCCTTTGAGTACCGATGACCAGAAGCATTATGCTGGGGCTGGTGATGTCAGGGATTCTGTGGCAGCCTGAGTGGAGAGAAGAGGCACTGGCTTTTGTTCATTTCCCCTGGTCCTGTCTCTCCCCATGCTGGGTGAGACAGG